TCTCTAGAAAAGTAATCAATAAACCCATTCACTCATGTAGTAACTTTTCTAGATATCTGTGTCAAAATTTAATGGTGATCCTTTAAGATCCTACTCACATGGGTGTAGGAATGTCTCATAGTGGCATTATTATTATTATTATTATATATATATAATAAAAAAAAAACTAACAATAAAGCTATAATGAATAGTAATATAGGTGAAATGGGAGCAAGGGTACGTGAAGTGAAAATAAAGCTCTTGTCACACATAGAAATAGAGCTGCGTACGTGAAGTGGAGATGTGCATCTGGAGTTTTATATGATCACCCCCACATACCAATGAACACTAAAGGGAAAGCTTTTTTAAGTCGGCTACAAGACTAGCCATGCTTTATGAGACAGAATGTTAGGTGGTCAAAAAATAACATATCCAGGATGAGTATAGATGAGATGAGGATATTGACATCGATGAATAGCATAACAAGAAAGGATAGAAATGGGGAATTGGTTATCAAGAGATCACTCCAATAAACAATAATATGAGGAAAAGTAGAGGTAATGAGCGATTTGGTTCAATTAGAAAACTCTAAAAGGATAAGAAAAACCTCAAAGGACATGGATGGAAGTAGTGATAAAAGATATGGTGATTTATTGTCTGACTGAAATAATTAGGATAAGGATGACGATGTATACATATTGACAGAGCATAACCGATCTAAATAGTCTGGGATTCATGTAGCCGACTATAAATACTAGGATCGGATGATAATGTTGATGTATACATATAGAAGTCAATAATGTTGATCTATACATATACAAGTCAAGTTTGGTCAGGTTCACCCAAATATCTAGCCGAGGCTAGACCTAGACCAAGCAATTGGCCTGTTTTTAATTAATTTTATATATTTGATATTAGGGGCATGGGTGGATTTTTATTTACTTTATTAGTTAATTTAAGAATTAAAGATAAAGGTGGTATAATTAGTTTCAATGTAGTGTAATGGGACATTGTAATAAAATCATTATTTCCTTTTTTAGGATTCTTTTTAGGAGTCATATTATTATAGGATGAGACTTGGTTGAGCAGGTAGGAGAATTAAGGAATTAGGATGGGACTTGGTAGAGCAGGTAGGAGAATTAAGGAATTGGCGCTGGGCAAGCTTTTTATGCTTTCCCTACAACATAAAACTTATATACTTTTCTTTATCCAATTTCCTTATCCAATATCTAATACATCTCCCGATGAGATTATGAGAACAAGACACAGAAATAAACAACTGAATGAGAAACACATCCAAAGAAACCGTAAGAGCACGAGAAAATATTACATCTCCGAATCCAAAAAAAAGAAAGATTTACCACATATAGGCTCGTCCACAGTCTAAATCAGAAAGAGAAACCAATTACCACATGTAAATGCTTGTGCTTCCACAGAGTTTGGTTAGAAGGCATGACCATCAATTACAAAACCACCAAGAGCAGGGCCTATCCTTTCAATCCAACCTAATCTTAAACCCCAAAAGGTCCATTGCCTAAAGGTCCAAATCCAAAATAAAAAATAAAAAATAAAAAACTAAGAGTGAGGAGTGAAATTAGAGAGGAGATAAGTTAAGCCCGCTCCCCACGAATACGCCTAGCAAGCTGCATATCCTTGGGCATGATGGTTACCCTCTTGGCATGAATGGCGCAAAGGTTGGTATCCTCAAAGAGGCCAACCAAATAAGCCTCAGCAGCTTCTTGGAGAGCGAGAACCGCATGACTCTGGAAACGAAGATCAGTCTTGAAGTCCTGGGCTATCTCACGAACAAGCCTCTGGAAAGGGAGTTTGCGAATAAGGAGCTCAGTGCTCTTCTGATACTTTCGAATTTCCCTAAGAGCGACAGTCCCAGGGCGAAAACGATGAGGCTTCTTGACACCACCTGTTGTTGGAGCGGACTTCCTTGCAGCCTTGGTTGCGAGCTGCTTCCTTGGAGCCTTTCCTCCTGTTGATTTACGAGCTGTTTGCTTCGTACGAGCCATTAATCCTCTTCACAAACCTCAATCAACAAAATCTCTGAAAAAAGGGAAAGATTAGGCCACCAGAAAACCAACGCAAACCTCTCCGCAAACCTCAATCAACAAAATCTCTGAAAGAAGGGAAAGATTAGGCCACCAGAAAACCAACGCAAACACGCGATCTGAGTGAGAGAGGGAGTTCTACTTTTTAACTGGTGGGATTTAAAGAGATCAACAAGAGAGAAAGTGTGCGTCTTTCCTTTATAGTTTTAAGGCGTGGGATTTAAAGAGATTAACAAGAGGGACGGAAAGATTAATACATGGAGAGATTATCTCGCAGCGGTTTGAAAGGAAAAACGATTTGAGTGTATCTTTTAAGGTTTATTTTGCTATCGAGATCATATAGGAATTAGACCTTGAACTCTGTGACACATTAATCAGATTTCATATCAAACGGTTGTAAGAAATTGTGACCGTATTGTATCAAAGGTAAAATAGTCAATATAAGAGGTTCTATCGCAATAACTTGTTTGAAAAATAAAAAACAGCGTATTTTCAAACTTTCTAAATTGAGAGATGATATAAGAGTATAAATAATCTTTTAAAATTAGAAATTGATTTTTTAAGAATTTCAAAGAAAACAAAAATATAATTCTTAAAAGGAAAAAATCAAATTAAAGTGCACCTCAAAAATTCACTAGAAGGGGTTGTTTCAATGATAAAAAATCCTCAAATCAATCATCTCGACCTCAAGATATATAAACATGAGAAAGAATTGATTTCAAACTTTCCAAATAGTGCTATTTATAATGCATTTTTTAGACCGTCAATTTTCAAGAACATCAAGTGCCCATAGATTTGTTTGATCTGCATTATTTTTAAAGCTTCAAATTTCATAAATAGAAATGAAAATAAATTTTTAAGCTATCACAAAGATTTTCCTAACTGAAATAACGTCTTTCAATACTATTTCACGGTACGCCTTGCTTAGATTGTTTAGAGCCCCAGCCTTATAGAAACTGCATCTTTCCTAAAATATACAAAACAATTATAGTCAAAATCATTTCAAACATATAAAGATACTTTACAGTCGAAAACTTTTGGAGTAACACATTATGATTTCATCATAGTGCAGCCGATAAAATCGATTTATAGGTACATGGCCTCATGTCCACATGAGCATGTAGGAACAAAGAACTCATGGATCAAATGCGTAATGCCAATAATGCCCCATTTTAATGCTATTTTATAGCGAATAAAAATTCCAGGTCTCCACCTGAATTGCAGATTTTTATTGAGATATCTTTCCAGAGGCAAGAATTAGAGATATAAAATGAGAGAGAGAGTGACAGAGAGAGAGAGAGAGAGAGAGCAATATTTCTACATCATCATAACATCATACAGGTTCTCAAACTTATCAATTGACGAGAGGATGCATTTCAGATACAGGGATAAGGGCCCAATAATTTTTACACTTCCACTCCCAAAGCATAAGATCACAGAAACGAACTGCAAAAAGCTTTATAAACAAGACCCTTTCCACTACACAACCTGGCAAAGGCTCCAAAAACCACCCCCGGCTTATCACAGGCCTCTTTATTCCTATCTAAAGAAGCCTCTTCAGCTCAAGCCAAGCGAAATGGCGCCTCCCTTTTTTCCCTTTTCTTTTTAATAACTAAGCAAAGTAGCCTAGCAAACATGGCTATATGCAAGGGCAATATTTGTCATACCAAAACTTGCTGCCTATCAACACTCTATGCGTAATCGCCTCAATTCTGTTTGGAAAGTGGGGCTTGAAGTTAGAGTTCGACGCGCTAGAGTCCTTATATCCTCTCTTGAACACTCTCTTGAAATTCTTACAAGCTCCCATAGCGCACCTCCAGCTATCATATCCTTAGCATTCACTTCTGAGATGAAACACCATGGATGTAGAGGGACATATGGGGTCAATATCATAGAAACATACAGAATATGGCGCCGTTTTTATTTTAAGTAGAGATGTAAAAACGAGATAATCCCCATGTTTTCAGGTCACACCAAAACATTGCAAGACTGCCACATCATTTCGCATGCACACACTGTGTGGACACAGACAACTCAATATTGCAAGATTTTTCCCTTAAGTGTGTTTTGCAAGATTTCACCATATTTATCATTGATTTCTACATGACAATGGACTAAAATTATTCTTCAGTTTCAATAAGTTTAAAAGAAAAATAAAAGTTTAAAAATTATGAAATAATAAGTTACAAAAATTGAAAAATAGAAGATTATCATGTTTCCTTCATATAATTTATGATGCATACTTCCCTGTGATTCAAATTTTCTTTCTCAGTTTTCCCCGTGAATTCCTCAAGAAAAACCTATATGAATATATCCGTCAAGACATTGACAACCACGTGATTCTCAAGAACAAGATTTGGCATTGCTCAAAAAGGTCTTTTTTTGGGGAGGTTTATCACAAAACCCATGAGAGATGCAGTTTTTAGAGTTTTACACATTTGCAACTATTCCACTCATGATCTTGTGTCTTTTTCATGGGTATTTTGAAATAAAATCAAATAATATCGATAAATTTGTTAAATATTTCATATCTCGTGAGAGCTTTGTTAAATTTCACCTGTTTTTTTATGTTAAAAGGTAATTGCAGCTATTCTTTTAAAAAGTATAAGGACAAAGATACAAGGACCATGAGCCACTCACCATGTTGTGCCAGGTGGCAGAGTGCAAGCTCAATATGGCGCCTGATTGGAGAGGCTTCATTGTTTGCATTTTGCACAATCCAAGGGAGCGCCCCATCATCGATTAGTAACGACCTCCCACTTTTAGTCCCTGTAGCACACATATCTACCATTTAAAGTTCAGACCAAGACTCAAATTTTGGTTTTCACAACTATTTCGACCAAGGCTAGACTGATATTAATCCAAAATTGAATATCTCATACTGAATTGAGCAGCTATCTTTATCAAAAGAAACAGATGAAAGCTTATTTAATGTAAAAGCTGATAATTTCAAAATTTTCAGCTGAAATATGCCAAGTTAAATACAATTTTAAATAAAACGTTTCAGCTGAGGACCACGATTATATTTTAAAAAAGCTTTAAACAAGAAGTTCAAATGAGCAATTTCAAATTATTTCCGACATCGATATTCAACCTAAGTTGTAGAAGTTAGAGAGCCACAAGAACCACGTATACCCAGCAGAGGCAGCATGTAGATAGTAAAGAAAGTATCATAATCCAAAGGAGTATGGGATACATTATTGACAAAGGCACACCCACCTTTCATTCCTGAAATTGGACAAGAAGGACCCCAACCTTTATTAGGGCACAGTTAACATTACACCATCCAGCGTAGTGCAAGAAAAATCAAACCGGAACGGTCAACAAGATATGAGCCCGGAAGTGGTTGAACCGGCCTAACCAGCCGGCCAGTTCAACTGTTCTAACCGGGCAAGTCCCGGGCAATCAAAAAAGTGTTAAATAAAATACAAAAAAACTCTAATAACATATGAAAAACATATTTAAATAATGATTAAACAAAACACATCCAAATGAAGCTGAAAATTAATGAAAAAATGGATTTTAAAGAATCTGTGCCCAGGGGTATTTTTGAAATTTTCCAAAAACGATGGGAAAATGTAAAAATAAGTATTAACAGCCAAAACAATTTCCAATATTTTGCCATAATGATGAAAAACATTCAAAAAAATCTCTTATTTTTTAGGATTTTATATTAAAAAAAATGTTAAAAAATTTAAAAATACTCGGCAAGTCACCAAAACCGGCCGAAATTGGAACTGACCGGTTCCGATCTAACCGGGCAGTTATCGGATAGACCACCCGTGTTTTCCTTCAATGATCCAGCGTCAAGAATGGCTGATGGATAGTCCTTAATAGTACCATGTATCGTTCACCATTGGATTATGATATAATTTCATCAATGTTTTAAAACACAGAATGGGAAGGTGAGCCAGCCATCTGGGAAACCACTCCGGATCAGCAATCTTACCGATACTCCTGAGTGAGAATCGTCAATAAAAAAATGGAAAAAAATAAAAAAGAGAAAAATAATAATAACACAACTTAAAATCGTGGGAAACAAGAGGTCCAGGTCGCACAATTCCTAAACATAATCAGCTGGTTCCAATAATGTGGGAACCAGTCTGATTCCCGGTTCTCACCGGGCAGTGGATCCGTTTCCACTGATCCCCAATCAAGTTCTAGATCGACATTTTTTAAAACACTGATTTCCGTAAATTATATTAATGAGAGAAGAGTGCAGCATTTACCTTGAGTAGACGCCCTTGACTCACATTTCGCAAAGTTCGCAATACCACGAGCCACTTGGGCAAGTACGTCAGGATGCGCACATCTGACCATTCCCAACAATGCCTTTATACCACCTTCACCTCTCAGCTTTGTTTGTAACTTGTCTGAAGAAAGAAAAAATTAATTTCACTCTTAAAAGATATATACAAAAGAAGAAAGTGCCTTATCCGAAATGAAAGTTCAGCAAGTAGTGACTCAACAGTGCTTAGCACAAGGCATTGGGTATTTGGCCTTCTTGCCAGTTTAACAACTCCCAAGCTCAAACTTCAAATTCACACCATGATTATTTTTACCCTCATTGATTCACACAATGAGGTTAGTTGCTTTTCCTTTTCTTCTTTGATTAGATAAAGAAACTGATATTGGCAAATACCACTAAAATGGTAAAATTTTGTTTTGTCCCCATCAATTATGTCCAATAAAGTACTGTGCAAGAAGATTCTTCTAGCTTCTAAATAGTGATAAACTTCAGTCTCGTTTCCATTGCAACACCTGCTCTTCCCCTTATTTCTAAGGATACAGGATGTCAATAACTGTGAAATTTTCGAGCCATACTTATGAGATTCCTCTTTTCTTTTCTTAGTAATTGACAACAAGAACAAGCATGACGATAGAGACATTGGAGAAAATATGCAAGGTGCTCACTCAAGCGTGACTGTCATATGGCACAAGCAAATGCTAGTGACACAAAGTTTACCAAATATGGGGCCAAGTAACAAAAAGGATCTTGAACCATGTAAGTAAATAAAAGAGAAGATTGGGAGGACATGAAATAGCTATATGCAATGCCAGTTAGAACTTCCAATGTTATGAGCTCCTATTATACACACATTACTTTTCTGATTGTGATTATTAATCTCCCATTAATACAATGGTAATCCTAATCTGCCAATCGAATAAAGCCAACAAACATTAGCAACAAAAGTAATGGAACTCACCATTTCCACATAAATTTGCAATGGCTCCCGCTACCATCCGAAGAGTTTGAGGATCCTCAGCCTCAGCTGCTGTCGCTGATAATAAACTTATGCCCCCTTGATCCATTATGAGTTCCTGGTTAGTTTCTGTTAAGCACAAACACGAGAAAAATTATTAAATGCAACAATCTCCAATAAAGATGTGCACAGCAGAGCGGTAGAAACAACACTCTATGTTCAAAATGTGGAAGTCAAATTGGAAGTTGACCGCTAAAGAAGTGAATTGCATCAGCATGTCAGTCGGAAGTTGGTGATAGTAGTAAAAAAGTTTCCCTTTTTGAAACTTGTATTGATAAAAGAAGGATAATAAACTACATCATTGTAGTGTACATAATTAATTCATGATTCGAGTACACTATGGGTATTTATAATTAAGAAATGCCAAGAGCAGAAAAAATAGAAGTGAGAAAATTCAACAAAGCAGTCAAGCCCCTGTTTTTAATTGCCTAATCCCCAATTTGACTTCAGTTGGGCGACTGGACAAACTTTCTTAATAAAGAAACCAGTCATCATAGGAGGCTCATAATGCTGATCCCAAAATAAAAAATAAAAAATAAAAAAGAGCCCGGGAGACTCAAACACTCATCAGCCATTCAACAAGCATACCATTCATTGCAAGGTTGGCAACTGCACCCGCTGCAACCCTGCGGATTGTCTCATCCTCTGAGCTTCTCAGGAGCATCAACAAGGAAGTGAGCCCACCAGCATCCACAATCCTCTCCTGATTTGCTTCTGTTCTTGGCAAATTAACAAACGTCACAATTGCTGTGTACTTATAGACAACCTCATTTAATACTAAGAAAAAACATATTTTTAGGCAATACCATGTATCCTACCAACAAATGTTCAAAATAAACTTATTTATTATTTATGACAATGAACAAGTAATGGTAAAAATATTTGCAGCAATGTTCCTATCAGTTTGCATTTCACATAAGCCCATTTGCTCCATATAATATAATTTTTCTTGTTTAAAGATAATAAAATCTCAAGGTCGGCCATTTTTTACTGTAAGAAACTATATTTAAGAAACTTCAAATGATATGTAACAAAGACTGCTCCATGGATTAGAACATTTCGCTAGAAAGGATACTCTGATAGTTAAAGTTCCCACAAAATCCCAAAATGTTACAGCAAACCATATCCTTGCAAACCTGAACTGAGCAATTCCAAGGATGTTGTCAATTATCACACATAACTGTGACTACCCTGACATCTCAGCTTTTTATGAAGTCCAAAGAAGCATAGATTTTACTCAGCAGGGTCATCATTGGCATGCTTTCAATATTGTCCTTCTCATAAGATGTAGTTGGCAAGTTATATCATGTATGGGGAGAATTCCCAATGAGATTATCACTGAATTTTATGTCTGCATTTGCATCCATGCTGCTTCGTAAAACAAATGAAAGGTCAAGTGCTTCCTATCACCTACATCAAGTGCTTCCTATCACCTACATTATTTTATCAAATAATACTGTGCAAAGAAAGAGTTTTTTTTATCACGTGAAACTAAAGAAAGACAATTGAAAATGTAGATGCTAGTATTCAAATTAAAAGCCACCGCCATGGTCCATCCTTTTCTATCATTCAATGATGAATTTATTCCTTCCAAGTCAAAACAGCTATATGAGCAATTAGCAGGCAAGCCATCACATTGAGAGCATCCTTCTAAGAACAGTCACAAAATAGAACTATCAAATGTATTTGCTATGCCGGTTTAGCAATCAAGCTACGCATGCACTCAAAAAAGTGTCGATGGATGAAACAATTGTGGAACTTTGGAATCTCTATTATGGGTAAGCCAGTAATCATCAAGACGAGCATCAATTGTGGAATTTTGGAATCTCTATTATGGGTAAGCCAGTAATCATCAAGCCAAAGAAACAAAATTACACTCCAGGCCAGTTATATCAGTTAACAAATGTAAAATGCAACAGGTAGATTTCTTCAAGCATCAATTATAAAGTTAATACAAGCAGATCATTATAACCTCATCACCAAGAAAAAGGGCTAATAGTTATATAAATAAAAAGAGCTATAGGTACCTTCTGCTGCAAGGTTAGCAACCACTTTCACTGCATGAATCCGCACATCAGGATCCTCTGATTCGAGCAAGGATAAGATCTTTTGCAGTCCCACTGGCACATTAGAGAAATCTATGAGGTCCAGTTAGAGAATGGAGACAGGTAACAATACCAAGCAAAAGATACTGATAATATACACGTCTGGAAAGAGAACAGCAAAGAAAAGTGTAACAACCTTGCTCAAAGAGTTTCGCGATGGATGCTTTCTGCCCATTCCCTGAATCTTTAGTGTATGGATGCTTAACTGCGGCCATAAGGGCATCTATGCCAGTAAAAATCTTACCAGAACCTCCTCTATCAAGACTCCGCCTTGTCTAACAGCATGCACATATAATGAAGTCAACACATAAGACTCAAGCAACATGTAATACAAATTATAAGTGTTGCAACATACTTTCAGCATTTGATAAATCAAACGAGGACACGCCTAACACTAGAAAATATTAGCCACATTGAATACCAAATTAAGAGTTTCTCTTTTTTGGAAAGGCAATTTGAACGTTTTCTGATGCATCATAAAAACTAAATATTTAAGAGAAAGATCAAGCATACTTACTAGTTATTACAACACATTTCCATAAACTATCAAAACAAATAAAAAAGTGGTATAAAATGGAAAAAAAAAAAAGTTAACCTCATCAGCTTCAAAACTCATTTGCAACAATTGATTCTTTAGTACTTGTATCTCCTCTTCAAGCTTTTGTTTTTGACGAGCTTCATCTTCCAGCATCTTACCAAGTTTCAAAAACTCAACATTGTCTGCAGTCTGGGGCATTCACAAAATCAGGTTAAAGCAGATCAAGAAGGGAAATGTAGAATAAAATCATAATATAAAGATGTAACAAGCTCTTCAGAAAAATTAATGACACAGGTATTAAACCTCTAATTTTTTCGGTTGCACCAATTGACTTTTTAGATCATTGATCTCCTGATCAGCAGCTTGTCTCAACTGAATTTCCTTCTGAAGCAACTTTTTGAGCTCCACAACATCGTCAGAAGCAGACAAACCTGCTGCCTGGAAAATAGAAAAATGGTATTTTATCATTCAGACATACCTCAGCACATGAGAAACTCATATGGAAAAATGCGACATACAAATCAATGTAAACAAATGAGAAGCCAGGAAGGAAAGGTGATTTCTAGCCCCGTATTAAACTTACCAATAGAAGAATGACAAAGATTTCTACATCCTCTATCCTTTCATACTCTCAGTCAAATTATATGTCCAGTTTACTCAACCAAGCTCATAAAGTTGAAGGACTTTAGAAAGTCAAATCCCGGTCATTTGACTTTCAGGCCCAAATCCAACAATGAAGCCTAAAGGTGACTCTAGAGAAGGAATGAAACTCCCGTACTAAAAACTAGAAATTAGAGGTAAAGAACTTAGTTCCTTAAAATTACTGTATATAGATTGATCAGGACACATAATTAACTCAACTGAGGCGAACAAGCAAAAAAATGAACTCTAACTAATCCAAGAAACAAATAGCAGACAATTCCCAAAAGAAATGCAAAAGGAGAAAAATAGTCAACAGTATAGCTCAAGAAAACGAGGCCAGACAGGTGCAGTTCAGATCCAGGGTTTGGATCAAGCCAAAACCTTTCAGAGGCTCCAAAACAAAAACAGTGGGAGGTGGGGGGCCAGGTCCTACTCAAATGAACCAACCAATAAGGTAGTCCAACCCACCAATCCACTAGCCTGTCTATCTGGAACCCACCAATCCATTCAGAATTTTATTTTACGAATCCTGTTTGTCAGTGTTCAGAAACATACAAAATGCAAGTGATGGTGGTGAGACTCTAACCCAGTCCAACTCCTACCAAAAAGAACCAGCCACCACCTACCAAAAAGAACCAGCCACCACTGGAGTACAAATGACATAATATTACAAGAACTATCTGCATCTGTGCCATATTTTATGATATTTACATTTAAACTAGTTCTTTTGAAATGATATATTCGTATGTGTGTGTATTGGAAAAACCCCTTGCCTAGATTGGCAAATAAATGGTCATGCAAGGGTCCAACACAAGATAAAAATCAAAAGATAAAAATCCAAGATAACAAAGATGACAGTAGAAAGGATATCAAAGTAGGAAAGAAAACAAACCTCCTGCACACGAGTCTCATCTATGCCCTTGTCTTTGGCTTCCTTTTCAAGTCTGCCATTACTTAGTTTTTGCTGATTAATTTTCCACTGTTCCTCAAGTTTCCTGATTGCTTCCATATACTCCTTCTGATACTTCAATCTTTCACACTACAGTAAGAATCACAGATGTCCTCTATATCAGCTAAAATAAAGCATCCACATAAAAAAGGCTGAGCCTAAATAAGAGAGAGAATGCATGGCAAGCATACTAAAAACGAAAAGAGTAGTTGAATGAAATTTTTTAGCACATTTTCATCCAAAGAACAGCCAAAGCTTTCTCGAGTAACAATTTAACAAACTTAAATAGATAGCTAGTAGCAGCATCAGAAAATATATATAGCCAGCACATATGTGTGCATCAGCAAGGAGATGTAAAGAGGCGAATGTGATTTTTTATGGTCCTTGTACAAAACCACAAGATGGAGAGATGCAGAATGGGAGGTTAAGGGAGAGGTGATGGAGTAAGGGGATAAATGTGATTTTATGGTCCTTGTACAGGAAGTGGAAGGAGCAGAAAAAGATTTTGACTTCATACCTTATAGAATGGTCAGAAGCCCTGCCAGAATTGTTGCCAAGAAATTATCTATGACAATGGAAGAAAAGATAAGACCCAGTATACCTCCATGCTACAATGCATTGGCCTGAGTCAGGTAGATTACGAATGTTGCAATGGTTGTCCATAAGTGCTTGGTCTGGGCATTCTAGAATATAATGTAAAGGATGAGGCCCAGAAGCAGGTCAAGGCCGTGAAGGAGTGTTTGTTTTAGAAACTTGACAACACCTATCTATTATGGCAAAGGGAACTGTAAGAGGTTATTTTTTTAGCACAATACCAGTAAGGCAGGAACCCTCCTTTTCCTATTCTTATATGTGATGATATGAGAGATTTTCAGTTGCATAGTGAGTGGATGATTGGTTGAAGGGTTTGCTGGAGCTTCTGGTTTAGCTTTGATCGACCTTCAGAGATTATATCTTGGTGCTTTATAATTCTTCAGTTTATCAGCCATAAAAGTTAGGCTTGATGATGCACGTTAGCGATGATGCTATAGACAGGTATTAGGTCAAAAATTGAGTTCAGGGAAGTGCTTGATGATGCATATGGGAATGGAAAGGTGGGTCCCCCATGATAGCAAGGCCACTGAACTGTAAACTTCAGTAGCTCCCAAGCCCTTAACTGACCCTGCCATTGTGCATGGTGGAATTTGAGATAGACGTATGGGATCTGGCAGTGAGCAGGTTGAGTGGAGGCTGACCCGGTGAAATTCGTTAGTTTCCACTTTAGGGGCAGAGGGGCATCAAAGTATTTTTATTCTTTTTATCTGAAAGATAAGACAAGAAAGTACATGTAATTATTACATCTAGTCGTTGCAAAGTAGCAGATAAATAACGACACACGCAAACAGGAGGTAGAGAAGAGAGCTGAAAGATAAGTACACTAAGGGAAGAGGATGACCCTCGACATCAGGCGATAATGTTGGCTTATTGCCTACTAAGTGTATCACTGGACTGCTTCCAATATAGGTTAAGAAGTCCACAGTCTCATTTGCCATCTTCCAAATTGATGGAACAGAACGTCCTGCCCCTTGCATTGGCCAAATATCATCCATCACAGCAGCTAGCCTCCGAGGATAAAGCACCCCAACCCCACTTACGGGCCCATCGTAAAACTTTCAAGGATTCCCTTTCAAAAATTAGTGATTCACTATAATGCGCAAAGAATACTAGAAAACCACTACTCAAACTCATAAAATGAGACTGTCCCCAATGTACTTCATGTTTCATTTTAGAATCCCCTGTCAACCTCACGCTCATCAAGTAGGCACAAGGCTATTGGGGATGTCCAACTAACCAAGCCTGAAGCATGGTACAAAAAGTTCTTTCCAACTGCCTTGGTAAAGCCGTTTGCTAGATCTATAGCAGTCACACATTAAGATTTGGTAAGTTTGTTTTTCAGGTGCACCAAGCAATCGAATGAACCGTAATTGACGAGAGTTTACATTCCAGATTTTCTGGTTTTCATAGTGTTGCTTCGCTCGAAACTAAAATATGGTAGTAATGGAACTGTGAATATCAAAATGTGAGTGCAATTCAAAATGACTAATGAAAAGAAGTTATGTATGAGTCAGTTTGAGGTCAGGCCAACCAGTACTTGATCTTAAAGGCTTTCCAGAAAGTATTAAAAGCAATTATAAAAAAAAGAGATCAATAAAGTGATAATGATTTCATCCCTTCACCAAAAAAACAAGTCCAAAAATAAATCAGCAAAGAATTACTAGGTACATAACTTTTCAATCAAAATATAAAAGATTGGGAGTAGAGCATGAGAAAAAAGACAAATTTGGCAAGACAATATTAAACAGAATCAGATAAATTGTATGAAAAACTTGCAGTTCGCAAACCCGAAACCAAACTCAGAACTGGATGCTCAATAGGTTCGGGTGGACATGGCAACTAGGTGGGTCAAGGAAATTGACCAGGTGGGTATTTTCCGATTTGTTATGAAATCTATATTTTAAACCCATGAAAATAATTACAAAACCTGGTCTGGGTGTCACCCTGAACTGACCCGGCCATACACTGGGCGTGTCCAACTCAGGCAAGTCCAGGTTGACTAGCTGGGTTCCCAAATTGTGGAGAGACTAACCTCCAAAGAATCCGCGTACTTCCTTTCAGCCATACTTATGCGTTCTTGTGCTTCAATAGATATTTTCTCGATCTCATCCTCAAAAAACTTCTTTTGTCGCTCATTTTCAGCTAGCACTTTGTCCAGTTCTCTCTCCAGTTTTCTGCATAGGCTTTTATAATCAAATTCTTCCTTAAGTTTCACCATGTTCTCCACTTTCATTGCCTAAAACGAGAACAAATTTCCACCATGAATGAACTCAACAAAAGAAGATATACCAAAAAGAACTTTAAATCGATTTCAAATCATACAGCTTCAGATTCTGTAAGTGAACAAAAACATAAGCCATACATGGCTAACATGCAACCAAGAAAATAATGTCGAGTACCGACCTTTTCCTGGCAATGGCTGTGCAACAAAGACAATCAGAAAGTAAGGTATACTTTAAAGTTCGGTGATATTCGAAAGCATGAACTTCTTTCACAAAGAAAATTTGCCTCAATACCAATTAAGTGCCAGATGAAATAAAAGACCAAAGTCAAAAAAAATCAAAGGATACATTTGAATTTCTTTTCCAGTGCATGCAAATCTATCGGGAGATATCCTAGGAAATACAATAACAATCTTTTTCTTGAATCAATAAAACAAGAACAGTGACCTTTAAAGAGTATAAAAGACCAAAACAGCAGCTACTCAAAGATCCATAGAATAAAAAATATGTTGCAACAACACACACCATGCTTTGCTCAGCATGTCTAAGGACATAACTTGAAGGGCCAATAATTTCAAACGAAACACAAGCAATCTGGCAAACACAATATTTCGATAATTCCTAGAGACTTAGTTTTAGGATCCCCATTCTAAGGCAGAGTTCCCTCTCTTGAAACAAAGCCTCCAACCTATTGCAATTATGAGTAGCTCATAAAAGAAAACAGTTTCAACACTCCTTCCCCCCTCCCCCACCTCCCACCCCTTGCTCCCTATCCTACTCCCACATCACTCCCTGGACATTTCTAGTTAGGAAAAATTGAACGCCTGCCCAATAGGAGCATTTTTGCAGACACCCATGAAGGTTTCAGGTCTAGAACATGTCTGTGGTATTTGATACCACAGTTCACAAAAATTGAACTAGAGGAAACCATCAGGGAACAAGTCAATGAACATATGGCTAGGAAAATAAACGTAATATTCAAATAAACAAAAAGTAGTTCAAATTGGGAGAAGAGAGACAATTGAGTGACAATTTTCAAAACATCAAACGAAGTACACAAAATTTCAGCACTACTTCAAGGCTTGAAAGAAACTGTCCAAACCTTCCAGTAAGTGCTGCAAGCATGTCCAATACTTTGCAGGACGTGTTTATCATTAAGAGTCAATGGCATTTACCGGATTTCCAAAATTGGTCTAACAGTATAAATGCAGTCGTTCCTCATTCACAGGTAACCAATACAAGTTGATGTGTCAAGACATCTCATAGAACACTTCCAGATCATATGGGTAATATGTTAGAATGCAGCTTCAATGCATATAATGCTATTGGTGCATGTCAACATAAGAAGCAAAGGAAAAATATACATGCCAAGGTAAAGAGGCCAACAAGAACACAAATAAAAGCATATTACTTATACCCACTGCCCCAAATCTGTGCATGTAACACACAGGATGTATGCAAGAACAAGACCAGGATGCAGAGACGTCACCAACTTCCTTCACACTACTGTAAGTGTTTCTTTTCCAAATTGTAAACCACTCAAAATTTAACATTTGGCATTTTGGACAAATATTCATTCGAAGCAAAGATTAGAGTAGCATTCACTACATCAAATATCCACCCTCGAGGCCCTCAACACATTAAAAAGTCGAACCATATTCTAAGACACATATTACTAAACCAAATTAAGACTATTATCAGTACAGGAAATAAGTTTATAATCAGAAAACACATCAACTACTTTAACAATTTGAACATTACGAACAAGTTTGTGTGGACTGAATAGAGGCAGCCAATGGAAAGCACCAAAAGTAAGAAATTTCATATTTTCCCACGAAGTCGACATATCCATTACTACAAGACTGACAATCAATAATTTTCATTAAAACAAATAACAGTAGTAACCAAATATGAGCAACCCACCCTTTGACCAAACATTATAGTACTAGCTGTCTCTCCTCTATGGCGTGGTGAAGGACCAATGGTAACAATCAATGAAGTTCTTGCAGTACCTGATACATTTCAAATAAAATGTCAATAACACGATCAAACAAACAATCCACTCAAAATATACATGTTCAAACAAACAACAATGACAACAGTACCACCGGAATGACAATAATGAGTCAAGAATCAAGAAAAAGACAAAATATTAAGACAGCTAAAAAAAGAAAAAGGCTTTTGCAGGTCAATAAATACATACCCCCTAATGAGTGTGCTTCCAATTGTAAGTTCTAGGCAGGCATATTTCCAATTCAAACTCCATGTAGATAAAACTACTATTCCAGGAATAATTAATATATATACCACTGATAATCTTTCATAATAAAATCCATACAGATGATTATACAGAAACATAATAAAGAATAAGCAAACCACTATGCTAACAAAATCTTACAATCCATATATTTTAAAATGACTCACCTCCAAATGAATCTCGGAGCAACCTCGTAAGCTTTGAATCTCGTGTAGGCACATGGGGACTATTCTCGGCAAGTGCATTGATGCACTTCCCAAGTGCACTCAGTGACAGATTAATGGACTTTGCTTCCTCTAGAGTGTGCCCTTCACTTCCTGCCAAACACAACAACAAAGAATATACCACAATTTCGGTTGAATAAAGATTATATTTTTGTTACACAAACATAGAACAAAAGGGCAACAGAACCACAAAAAGCAGAAGCCACAAACACATTCACTAGCAAGAACTACCAGTAGGTAATACATTCCTGATGGATTTGCCAAATAAGGAGACAAAAATCTGAGTCTAAATCAAAGATTGAATGGTACAGAATTGTAGCTTCTAGCATTGAGAAAAATGAGAAACTTTCATACTCTGTACGTTGGCTATGTGGCCTTTGTTATTGTTTCTATCACTTAGCAAGAAGAGAAGATTATCTCAAGTTTGAAAATAAAGACATGCCAATGCAATAAGGCACAGGCAAAGCTATTTTCTTTTTCCTTTGTTTGGACCAATAATAGACAAAGCTAATTCAACAAATATAAAATACAGGCTTAGGCTAAAATATATGTCTGGGTTCCTGATAGCATGAAATTGGATCTTTGAAAATTTTTAGTGATACCTGATTTGTCAATGCGCTCTGAACCTGCCAAATCGACAACAACTAGTTTGCTCTTTCTTACAAGAGGTGCCTGGAAACTTTTATGTAAGAGAGAGGCATTCCCATTCTCAGTTGGTAGAGGTAGATCTCTGTAGGGCCTTCCCTTTACAGTCCGCCTGACATGTACCTAATTCAAGAGCGATCTAAATACAATTATTACAAGTGTTTGGGCATGCATTTAATTAAACTGGATCGCAACCTAAATCATCTAAATTCGAACAACCAAACATGCAATTCACCATTAAAATGGCATGACTACGAGAAGATTCGGTATTCAATTTAGTGTTTGCTGCAAATCGGTGTGCTTCCCCAAGCCTTAGGAGCTCCACAAAACTCTGTTGATCTCTTATTTCAGCTACAATCGCACCAGGAACTGAAACATCTCCAGTCTTGGGGTCTTCCACAATGGCAATATTGTCATTTCCAGGATCAAGGAGGTCCTGGATGGTCTCCATATAAAGCTGCCCATACAAGTGCAGGGAAAACAACATCGTGTCAGCGATAGCCCTAGAAGTCATTGATATAGTTTATCATGTTGTATTCAATACACCCAAACCCAACAAGAACCAAATGATAATGACAAGTTGGTTTTGTAATAAAAAATCACGTAATAATAGAATTCTCATACATAGGTTTTAAAACATTTTATTAACTATATTTAATCAAACATTCATAAGACCCAAATACCTGCATGTATGAGACTGAAACAGAGTCGGTGTCAGGTGAAATATCTGCAAAAATATCCTCCATTGACCGCACCATTATCCCACGTGCAGCAGTGTCTTCCTCTCCAAGCCGTCCAAGTGTAAAAGTCTTTCCAGTTCCGGTCTGTCCATAAGCCATAACAGTACCATTGTAGCCCTCCAAGACACTCTGTACAGAAAGATATAGCGGTTAGATACATGCCACAAGAAACTCCATCCCATATGGAATCAGAGAGCATGTATGCAGAATTACATGTTAAGCCAATTGACCATGGCAAGAAATTTAGCACTGAAGGCTCATGAATAAGAAAGAAGAATTTTAATATATCGCAAACAAGAGGAGTATATCGAACTGTAATTAAGATTGGGTAATGAAGATTGGTACACAAAATAAGGTCCCTAATGCACAACTTGAGCCACCAGAAAACAAGCTCTTCAAAAAGAATAGGAAAGATGATGCCGAAAAACAACACCAAAGACAGAGTGTATCTTCACTCAATAAACCAAAATGCACTTTCCTAGAAAAGTTAAAAAGAAACCGAGCATGTTAGGCACAATAAAGACATGGTGATCATATTTCTCACAAGAAAAGAAAAAGAAATAACAGAGAATTACACAAAGAAAAATAACAGAGCACCTAAATATGATAATAAATACCTCAACAACAGGCTTTGCCACAACTTCATATACACGCTTTTGAGACGCACATTCAGTAAGCACTTCGTCAAACTGATAGGTGTCAGAGTCCCAATTATTTTTACGTAATTTCAGGCGTTTGAGCTGAAATTACCACACAAAAAATAAAATAAATAAAATTACAGACTACAATCTCCTAAAGAATATGTAAAAGGGCCACAACATAGACTAGTGGCATAAGGAACTAGAGAACACCTCCGGCTGTAGTTCAACGCAATCTGCAAAATCAGCATCGGCGACCAATTCTTCTGCATTGCGTGGTCGCAACCGTACAGCTACCCTGACTCTAGCAGAAACTGCCAATCAAATTAAAACCATTAAGAAACAAAATTCTTCAATATCCATAAAGCTTAATACAGGAAAATATCCTTCTGCACAATGGAATGCATTAAAGGAAATGAAGACATCAACAAAGAATAGAAAATAAATTACAAATAAAAAGGAAAACATGAAATAATGTATAAATGGATTTGATAAAGCATTAAGTTACCTAGAAAGCCAGAGAGAGAATGAGAGAGAGAGGGAGAGAAAAAGAGTTTGCAAGGAGAATGATTTTCTACTATGCACAGAAACACCTAGGATTAGCCAAGGTAATGTTACTTTTGGGAGCTCACATTGCCACTGCACAAGGTTCTTGAGCATATGCTTAATCACCAAAGGACCAAAACTGGAATGCTTAAGCACATCCGTTTAGCCATTTCCAATGCACAAGCTTTGGTCATGCACAACTATCTAAGTGGACTAAATCAGCAATATTTGACCAAAATTTAATCTAGAAAGAAGCTCATCCAAACTTCCCACACTGCAAGGGGGCAAGTCCCCTTGGTTCTTTCACCTTGAACTGGCCAGATATTAACTCTACAGGCTTATTCCTTAACCACCTAAAACCAACAAGTCCCAGATTCATTCATAAAATCTAGAAGTGATGAGACAGCATTTGAAATCAGAATTCAGAAGCCAGCCATCTTATTTATAAAAAATAATATACTAGTTCATACACCAATAAATGGTTTCAAATTTTTATTTGTTTTCTCCAAAGAGTAAAATTAACGTTTATAATTAACAAGAAATTGAATCTATGTTTTGAAGTAACTTTAACCCAAACTGAATGAGAACAGTCTAGGACAACCAAATCAGAACCCTCATAGATTCGATCTAGTATGAATTCAACTACTGTGCACCTGAATAACTATGAAACAGAAAAACATGTACATAAACACAGCCCATGCAATAATAACAACTCGTTGCTAATATCGTACAGGAAATTCCCCACATTCCCAACCCCAGGAAATCCTTCCAAAATCCAACCAACTCCACAGGATCTACCCCAAATGTAGAGATGAGGGAAGAAGTACCACATGTAAATTCTGAGGCTGCTCCAGAATGCAACATGTGTTTCACATACAAGTGCGCACGCACGCACATGAACACCACAAATACGAATGAACACCCCAAGCATGTGCACATTCACAGGCACACACATGTGCATGCACAAACACACTACCATGCCTATGCACACTGCAACGGGTAACTAGTTATAGGTATTATGGAGCTCAGCATCTTTGTCTGAGAATTAAAGGCCCCAAGCCCAAATTTTCCTAATGATATTTCTGTCATCAAAAGAGAGAGAGAGAGAGAGAGAGAGAATAATTTGTGTACAACACATGTTAGAGCCGGAAACAAGTTGGAAAACCAAGGCAAGAGAAAATGAGAAATATACTAACCGCCTAGCCTTGATATGTCCATTGGATTGCCCCATAATCAAACACGCCAATATGACTTTGAAGTAGTAACTCATAAAAGTATAACTAAAGTGGAAGTATTAAAGAAAAAACAAATGTCTACATAAATCCAAGGGAAAGGCTAGAGCGAGGGACAAAGTAGATCATTTGTGTGATATATAATGTTGTTAATAAGAATGTTTGTTTCTCAAGAACCAGAATTTATATTTCCCTAAACATAGCTTGTAAAAATTTAAATTAACTATAATCTATATCCCTGAAGAATGGCCTATTATTGATTTTGTATCAATCAAACTGATATATCAAGTTACTCAAGCAGGAGCAAACAAACTGAGATGTGAACAATGGCGAGGGAAGAGTGAGAGAGTAAAAGACATAAGATGATGGGGGATCTGAACCCAAGAAGAAAACCTGTCTTCTATTGCCTGCTTGTGCTAATTTGTCCGCAAAGTCATTGGCCAATCTCCCAACATGTTGGAAATTCACTTGCTGATCCCAACAAAGGTAACACATTTCCTCCAATTTATCAGATAATCTCCATGGACAAGAAGCCTCTCCTAACGCCCAACAAATAACATTCAAACAGTAATTTGGGCTAGTATAGGCCCAGACAAATATCTGATAAAAAAAACACCGTAACCCTCTTAGGAACACCAAGGCTCAGCTATAATGGCATCTCGAGGTCCAATTGGGCGTGCAGGTACGATACGAGTCTCTCCGAACCAGTTTCTAATGCATACCCCTGCATCGAGAGGGGCAGGTTTTCTCAATAGTTTCCACCAAAATTGAGTTTAAAAGCCCCAGTTGAAGACTTGTTCACGAGTTTCGAACTGGGTGAGCTAGAACCCAGCTGTTCACCAATAAATACCATTTTCTCACCAAATCAAATGCTTGAAAACCTTTCAAATGAGGGTCAAAGATATAATCATGTCTCTAGCTTGAACCCTGAAGTTTGTGGTTCCAGATTACTTACCCTTGAATATCCACTTATTTGTTTCTAACCGAATCCCTCAGAGAGTGGCCGCAAAGTTGATATTCCACAAGCTGCCCTCTTTTGTGAAAATGGGCAAAAACTCCAACATCCCCATGACATTAAACTCCTCATTTGCTCACTCTCTCTTGTCTACTCTATATCATTTGAAGAAACCATCTCTCCCCCTCCCTCCCATTCCATCATCATTTTTCTCTCTTTCACTCTGATTTGATTCTTTCTCTTCCCCTACTCGGTTGCTCACCCAGTACTCAACTAATCAAAAACAACCCCCAGCCAATGTTTATAAAACAACAATAATATATCAGAAGCTACTAATCAGAACTAGCGACAATTACAAGGTGACATGGTGTTTAAGAGGCATTGATCGTTATAGAACTTATGAAGGGTGCGAATAGTACCCCCATGATTTCATATTTCCAGGGCAAGTTAATCACCGCATGAATTAATTGATGTCCATTTTTCATGGAAAAACATGAATTATTTGATGTTGATATCTATTGAATGATAATATCAACTTAGAGGCATTAGCTGCATTACTTGGATTTAATGGGTATCGCTGTATCAGTACGAAAATAATTGTGTGCTCAAATAGCCCTAATGTAATAATAGGGAAATATTTATTATCTGGCAGAATCAGCAACACCCCACAGTTGTTGCTGATTCTAGGGTTTGCCTGTCATTTAGGGAGTGTATATAAGGGGAATGCTTGCAGTTGCAGCTTTGCACCAGAGATAGCAGGTCGTATGTTTTAGGAAAGATTAGGTCTCCCACAATTAAGAGAGACAAGGAAAGAACATGAAGCTAGAGATAGAGACAACAAGGAAGATACCAAGAGAGAGAGAGGAAGAGAGTTGGATGGAAAGGGTGAACTTAGGGCATGTTTGGTAATGGGCAAAGTCACTACCATGTTTTGCAAGTGAGTTCTACCAGTAGAAGTCGGTACTTGGGAACCAGTTTTTTGCGGAAAACTCGCTACCATGTTTTGTAAGTGAGTTTACTGGGAACTTTGATGACTGCAGGAAATTGCTTTCCTCAATTTTTCAAGGAAATGCAGTCATTCTCCTTGGGGGGGTAGGGAACACATTTCTACGAAAAATAAACTCATTTGGTCACTTTCACTCATCTACTCTCTCTCACTTGAAGGCGCGCACACGCTCGCTCCCACACACAAAATGCAATGGGGGCAAGGCAATAGCTAGGAAGTATGAAGCTCTGCTCCTTTGTCAAATACTTAAAGGCTCAAAGAAACTCACCTAATGGAATTTCTGCGACAAAAATGAGAAGTATATGTGTATGAAACATTTCAGAGAGTGCAAACAAGTTGAAAAAAGAACGGCCGAGAAAATGAGACATATAGCACTTATCTTTCCTTGACATGGCCATTGAATTGCCCTATAGACTATAGCCAAACACTTATTTTGAAGTTATGACTCATAAAAGCATAATCAAACTGGGCAAAAAAATTAAAGAAAAAATGTGTTACTATATAAATCCAGAGAGAAGGCTGGACTCTGTGACAACCTAGATCCTATGTCTGACATATAATATTGTTAATAAGAATATTTCTTTCTCAAAAAGGGATACATCCCTTTTTTTTTCTTTTTTCTTTTTTTTGAGAAGATACATCCCTTAACATAGTTCATAGGAAACTTAAATAACTATAACCTAAATCCCCCAAGAATCCCTTTTTCTTAACTTGCAGCAATGAAACTGATACATTTTACTCAAGCTGGACTAAACAAATTGAGACATGAACCCTGACCAAACAAATTGACACATGACCCCAGACACATCCACGCACGCACGCAGGGAGGATGGGGATTTGAGCCATGAAGAGATATTGTCTCCCATTGACTATGCGTGCTAATGTGTCTGCAAAGTCATTGGCCAATCTCCAAACATGTAGAAAATTTTCACTTGCTAATCCCACAATAGGTCATATATTCCCTCCAGTTCATCAGATAATCTCCATGGAGGAGTACCTTCTCCTTGTACCCTCACCTACGACTTGAAGTGGGCCCGATAGAGATTTGAAAAAAATGTGTAACCCTGTTAGCAGTCCCAAAGCCTCAGCTGTATTTGCACCTGAAGTTCCAATTGGGCCTGCATATACAATGCAAGTCAATACATACCAGTCTCCAATGACTAATCCTATGTCGGTAAGGCCTGGAACTCCATAAGAGCTTTCATCGAAGTTGAGGTTGAGAATTCTTCCTCCATGAGATCCGAATAGGATGAGCCGGACACAGCTGTTCACCACTAAATACCATCTTCTCGCCAAATCCAACACCCATAAACCTTAAAACTTCTTTCTAATGAGTGTCAAAAATGTAATTATGTCTTTAACTCGATCCCCAAAGGTTCTGGCTCTAGTCCACTGACCCTCGAGTATCAACTTATTACTTTCTAATCAAATTCCCGGTAGAGTGTACCCCTTTTGTGAAAATGGGCGAAAACTCCAACATCCCCCATGAATACCCTTAGTAACTTAAGCACACCTAATCCAATTTATTTTTTTAACATTAAAATTTATCCTATAAGACAATAAATTGATTTGTTTTGGAAAACATACCCCTCAACTTTTGTATTTCTAAAAGTAACAAAGCCAAACACAGACCTCATCTCTTATTGTTCAACCAAAACTTTAAGTGCCAGCATCAGTTCCGTGTTCAACAGGAAGTCAAGTCACACACAAATATGTATTTTTAGTCTCATGTAGTAAGATGTAAGCAAAAAGAGGCAGAAGTAGATATTTTTGTAACACATCTGATAATAGTAGCAAGAATAGACGAACTCATAGACAACCTATTTTCTAATCAAAATGTTCTAAATATCAAACCCAAAAAAATTACAATGAATTAGGAAAAGCAAAACAACAAAAGCCTCTTCCAATTTGGAATCCAATTAGATAATCACAAGCAGCAAGAATATCAAAAGAAATTATAAGATGGTATTTTACAAATGAACTTGCCTTAGTGATGAATAGTCTTCTCCATCACAAGCGTTTGAGTATTATCACTTAGTGAGTTAGTGTATTGCAATACAAAAGTCTAAGTTGTGAAACCAGAAAACAAAAGAACTTGCCATAATGATAAGCAAACACTAAAAAGAGTTTGAGTATCAGCAGCATTTAATGTACCATAAAACAAGATTCCAAATTTCGATAGAAGAAAAATAAGTTCAAAATCAAAGTGAATGTATACTGCCTAGACCAACTACTTGCCCTGATATTGCCCTGATATTACAGTAACGAATCTAATTCAGGACAGTGCAGGTTACTCTATGCGGCAAACTCTTAACCAATGACACTTCACAATGAACAATTCTTCAGGACTAATTCAAATGGAAACAATGCAATACTGACAATCAGATCAAATATTCATCATGGTTTGATAGCTAATGGGACTGAAATTTGGGATTAGAGGAATGCCTTGAAGAACAAAGTGAATATGCACTGTATGATCCTTATTCATAATTGAGTAAGAGATCTGATACTGGACTGAGCCAAATCATGAGTTATTCAGAAACCAGAAAGGAACTATTCCAATTAGAGAATGTATTTATAATTCCAAACAATGAGATCAATGTTTCGCCATCATCCAGAAAACAGCACTTGCTTCAGTTATGAAATTGCTAAATGACATGAATAATTAAAACCAGACCACTAAGCAGAACTCCTAAATCATCAAAACCCCATACATTCAGTCAGTATGCCACATTATACCATAATCAAGCATTTCACAAACGAAACTTGGAAACGCAGAGTGGATATCAAAACCTCCCTATCAAGCCCCTAGGCCACTAAGATTAGCGGAAGGAAGCCAGATCTCATTTGCTTTATATTATAGCAGATAAGAGAGAGAGAATCCAAACAAGAGAAAGTGCAGTTTTAAAACAAAGCAAAACCAACCTGCACCGTCATCCTTGTTCCCAGGACCAGCAAGCGAACCTGAAATGGTTCTTCTTGTGCCAGAAGGCGATGGCTGAGAAGCTTTTTGTCGATTCGAAGTCTTTATTGCCGAATTCACCGATAAAGGCCGTTCAACTTTCAAGGGCGCTTTAGAGGTGCCGTTTCTTAAAGCACTAGAAGCCATACTGGAACCAGAGACACACTCAGGCCATTACCAGAGAAAATAATACTCCACAAACCCTAGTTTTCTCGATCATTTCAAGAGAACTAAAGCTGATAGAGCCAGAGTACTAGCGTGAAAGTTCGGAAAATGTTCGCTTGCAGGCAAACTAGAGAGAGAAAGAGAATAAAGAAGGGGCTGACGCTTCTGGTTCAAATGGTGTAGAGAGAGAGGGAGTAGTAGTAGAGAGACAAAGAGTGGAAAGAGAGAGAGCGGAATGGTCTTTGAACGGGAGCACGTACGAGACTTGCCGCCGGACTTTGTTAGGCAGGTGGGACCCACGGGGCATCTGCACTTCACGGGGGATGGGGGAAACGAGCGGCAGTTGCTCCCTTGGCCCGCTCTTTTTTAAGGCCAACTTATGAAAGACGTCTTGTTTCTCAATGGAATTTCAAAAATGCCATTGTATTTTTGGTCGTGCCTAAAGTGTCTTGTATCCTTTTCGACAAAATATAAATCTAGGTCTTAAATTTTACAGCTTTGGGTAATTAGGTATTAAACTTCTTATCTTTTGTTTGTGTTTGTATTCTATGCAGTGTACTAAAACCTGGATTGCTAGGACAATTTGTTCATCATGGATTCGTGTCGGATCGTTGGATCGATGATCCAAATTGGATCTAAATCGATAAAAATATATAAAAATTAAAATAGGTTTATAAGATGTGGATTAAAAAGAGACCTAATAAAACCGGGTTGGGAACCATACCATCTTGGAATTGGTTCGGTCCCGACTGATTCCCATCTGAATCGACTGTTCATATCGGAATCGCTAAGTTTTGAAACACGGATACTATGGGAGAATTTCAAATAGGCTTATTTGGCTTTCTGGGTAATTTGAAGGGAAACTTATATTAGTGTCTCTTATATTAGTGTCTCTTATATTTTTTGAAATTTAAATAATTTTTTAATATTTTATACTTATATTCAATTTTGAAAGCGCATCTTAATTTTTAATATTTTTTTTTGTTAAAATATTACTATGAAAGCTTACAAGTCGATTTAAATCCCACCTCCTACGCCTCCACATGATGTGCTCCAAATACAAGGTCCCTGCTCTGACACGCATATTCGTGTCAGTCACTAGCACTATCCTTGGAATATACAGCAACTCACATACCAAAAGTTCACAAACATACCTTGTGTCCGAGGGGTGACACTGTTGCAATGGAGCGACACGCCGCAATGTTTGCTCAAATCCAAATTGGTGGCTGTGATACTCGGAAACCCGGTGATGTGATATAATCATCGCCATCATGTCTTTTTTCCAACTACTTAAGGATCGATTGACACTGTGATATAAAATTTTTTTTTTTTTTCTAAAAAAACACTTAGGGACCATATATTTACCAAATCAATGACCGTATTATATATAGTTATAATGCATTGAGATTATGATATGGAGTTATATAGATCAACACGTCCGCTGTCTATATTTATTATTAGACAATAAACACTAGCCATTCTGCTAATGGAAAGGCCAAACTTGAAAGTGAAAACCATGTTCACTGACCCCTGATGAATATAGGTGGTGGATAATTAGTAGCTACTTTTGTTTTCGAATGGGGTTTTTAAAAAAAATAAAAATAACACGATTTCATTAATCATGTCAAAAGTATGCACAAAGTTGAATACATCTACTAAAAAATGAATCTATATACCAATTCAATAGTCTTCAAAAAATCATTCAATGAGCATTTCCTTTGATCTGCCTCTTTTTCCAGCGCATATACCTCAGAGTCGGTCATTGTAGACATGCCTGAAAATCACCATCTTCACACTAAGGCCAATTTTTTATGACTGAAAATATTTATCATGTTTGAAAGTCGGCGATCGTTAGTGTCTATCGTAGTCCAGTCAATTGAGAGAGTGGGATACACAAAACATGAACATAATGCAATCAATTGTTGGTAAAAAAAATTGATGAGCGCGGATGAGACCAAAACCGAGATCAGAGAGGGGGATGTTGTGAGGCTGGTGATTGCAGGGCCCAGATTTTAGTTAGGAACTACCCAATAGAGAGAATGGTCACTTTCTAGAGGCTCTATAATTTACCGTGTTTTTTCTGTATCTCCTTCTCTCTGGCTTCCTATATTTATAGGTAGAAGATGGGCCAATGTTCATCTTTCTCCAATGAGCCTTTGAGAAAAAGTCATCCCTGATCTCAGGGATACTCATCCATATAAACATTGAATAAAATGGCCTTATAATATAAATTATTATTTACACTTTTATAAATGGATAATTATAATGAAATATGGGATTCCTCTAAGCCCACAATTGTAGGCAATACCACATGAGACATCATGGCCATATATGTCAACATCTCTCATTTGGCTATGACGACCCAGCATAATAATAAATCACATGCATACTCCCACTTTTGAGTATGACTTTTAAGAAAGTATCTGGTCATGAGGTTTTTCTCACGTTTTCGAGGATATGCCTCTCACAACAAATGTCCATCATGAGGATTTCCACAATAAAGCGGATTTGTCACTCATGAAAAACTGACTAACTTAAATATCTTTAAGTCTCATTAAGCTAATGTGCTTAGACGGTAGTTCAACACTTAGACATTTTGTTAATGGATCAACAATCATATATAACGAGGACAAGTAACTAACAGTTACGTCACTTTTCTCAACTACATCCTGAATGTAGTGATATTGGACATCTATATGTCTTCCTTTAGAGCTATTTGCTCAACTTTGAATTAATTTAATTGTAGCTTAATTATTACAAACCATTTGGATTGGTCTGTTGATTATTTGTTGCTTCAAGTCATCTATGAAGCCTTTATCCAGACGGCGAAAGTACATGCAATGTATTATGCATCATGTGTGTATCTAGCTACACATCCTTATTTCTTGCTAGACCAAGAAATTGCCCCTCTAAAGAGAAAAAAATGCCCTGAGGTATACTTACTATCGTCCTTATTCCCAACAAAATATGCATATAAATATCCTATAATTTCAAGCTTATCTATTTGAAAACATAAATTAGATGTTTTGTTTCTTTAATGTACCTTAAAATTCTTTTTATTGCTTTCCAATGAGCTATGCCTGGAATACTTTGATACCTACTAACAAGTCCTATAGCATAGCTCAAATCTGGTCTTGTACATCTTACTGATAGCTTGTGCATACGGAACATTAGGATTTTTCTTGTCCTTCTACTGGACAATCTTTTTTAGACAACTTTGCTCACTTTTCAACAGGAGTAGACAATGGTTTACAATTTTCTATTTGAAATCTTTTGATAACAGAGTCCAGATATCTCTCTTGGCTCAAATACAACATTTTTTATTTTCTATCTCTAGTTATTTTTATGCTTAGGACATAAGATGTTTTTCTCATATCTTTCTTCTTAAACCGAGAAAAAAATCATGACTTAGTCTTATCAATCATTTATAAGTCGTTTTCAACTATTAGGATATTATCTACATATAATGAGAGTATTGTGAATTTACTCTCACTCTTCAATACATATGCGTATTGACCCCATCTATTTACTTCATATCCCATATGTATGATGGCATCATGAAGATGTTAAGTACCATTTGTCTTGAAGATTGTTTTAAACCATATAAAGTCTTATTTAATTTATATATTATTTTCTTTGCTTTTAATTATGAAGTCTTTAGGTTGCTTCATATAGATAGTTTCTTTTAGTTCAGCATTCAAGAATGCAGTCTTTACATCCATTTAGTAAAGTTATAGGTTATAACATACAACGATTGCCAACATTATTCTAATGGATATAAACATTGTAACTGGTGGATAAATATCAACATAGTCGACTCCATTTCTTTGAGTAAAACCCTTTGGTTAGCTTTAAATTTATCAATTGATCCATTAGCTTTTAACTTCTTTCTAGTACCCATTTAGAACCTATAGGTTTCCTATTTGATGGTAAATTACATAAATCCCAAACTTTATTTTTCCTAATAGAATCTAATTCTTCTCTCATGGCATTAAGTCATTCTTGGGTTTTTTATGATTTCATTTATCTAGGTCAATAAGGTTGTATATCTCTTCACTCATATAGACATAGAAATTATCAAGGTATGATGGATGAGCTCTAGACCTCTTTTGACCACTTAACATTAGGTGTGTGGGTACTTCAACATCATCATATTGAACAGAGTTATCCATATCCACTGTAGGTAGTTGTTCTAAGTCATCTATGATCTTAAGTGGATTATCATTATCCAATACAAGTAGGTTTTTTTCAATAAAATCTTATTGAAACTCAACATCTCTACTTTCAATGAGTCCATTATCTTTATGATAAAATCGATATCCCTTTAAACATTTGGGGTATCTTATAAAATTACAAAATAAAATTTTGTTTTCTAACTTATTTTTATGTTGATATGAAAATAGGACATGCGCAGTCGACCCCCACTTATTTAAGTTGGTTAGATCAGGTTTTCTACTTATCCACATTTCATAAAGGTATAATCTATTGCTTTAGTTGGAACCCTATAAATAATATACATGGATGTGCTTAATGCTTCTCCCCAAAAAGTATTGGGGTAGATTAATATAAGTCATCATGGATCTAGTCATTTCTAAGATGGTTCTATTTCGTCTTTCAGCTATTTCATTTTGCTGTGGCGTATAAGGCATAGTAGTATGTCTTTTAATACCATATTTTTTATAATAAGTATTGAAAGCTTCGGATGTGTATTCACCTCTCCTATCAATTCATAAGAACTTTGATGTTCCTACCCAATTGGTTTTCTAATTCTCTTTTATATATTTTAATTTTTTTCTAAAGCTTCTGATTTATGGTGGATTAGATAAACATATCCAAATCTATAAAAATCATCAATAAAAGTGATGAAGTATGACATCCCTCTATGAGTTTTAGCTTTTAACATTGAGGGGCCACAAATGTCTTCGTAGATCACATTCAATAACTCATTAGCTCTCTCCTTTTCATTAAATGATTTTCTAGTTATTTTTACTGACTCGCAGTGCTGACAAGTTGAAAATTCCATATTATTTAGATTTGGAATAAGATATTTATTTATTAACCTATTTATTTTACCTTTTCTTATGTGGCCAAGCATAAGATGCCAAGTATATGCATCAACAACCATTACAGAATCAACATAACCAGAATAAGTTGAAATTTTATTATTATCTTTCTCATTTATATAAAGAATGAACAACTTGTAGCCATCAACCAAGTGTCCCCAAGTATAAATTTGTCCACGCTTTCCAATTGA